AGAATATAAAACAGAATAATCCGTAGTTACTTTTAATTAGTAAATTCAATGTTACTTATAATTAATGCAATCATCAACAAATATTCATTATTTTTTAGTAATAATAATACATAGATTCATGTTTAGAGATTACATTACTTTGGTTTACAGCCTGTAATTATTAGAATTGTTTACACCAATTAAAAAATATATAAATATATATATAATTTCTTATTTTTTAATAGGTTATCTTAGATAAGATTACTATCATAGAATTAATAATTATAATGAAACGTTTTATATATTGGCTATTGACAAGGACAATGTAATTTTTTCCTCATTTATTCTTTAAAAATGAGTAGTATAAATCTCTGTGATTTATTTATGCATTTTAATCATTTAAGTATTCTCTATGACGGTATTACAACCTCTTAAATAAAAAAAAAACAAGAATACAACTTGAAATGGATATCAGCAACTGGATATTTCTTATCTATTTCCTACTTAGATCACTAAAATAATTATAATAAAAGAAAGATAAACTCATGGAAAATAAACTACACAACGGAATTAATAACTTCAGAAAGGAATTTGCTAACAGCAGCAGGTCCAACAACACGGCTAACGCCTAGTGTTTAGCCGTCGCATCGGCCAATAGGACGCTCGTCTGACGAATAAATATGTAAATACAATGTCCACAGCGCCGTAGGCATAAAACAACACGATATATAGCCCGGTAATTTCTTAATTGCGCTCCGAAAAATTCTTGTCATCATAAACAGCCGGTTGATTATATTGAAACGACTCAAGGCGCCGAGGGCGTCTCGTGGATGAGACAAGCGAACGGAAAAAAAGAATAAAAAGATCACAGGATAAAGAGTAGAAGACATGGCGATATTAATTTTCCTCACACGATTATTTATGTGACTCTAACAGTAAGCTCCGCGCACAATCTCACTTGACGGAAATCGAAACTAAGCTAATGACATAGAAAATCTCCCCTCTTTGTCTGTGTAGTCTTCTTCGACGTAATAAACGGTCGGTTCCCGTATTAATCATTCTCACGCTCGGCCGAGTTCCGACGAGATTTGAAAGTGACTCATGCCACGAAGAAGAAGCTAGCTTACATGGATATAATTTATGCGATTTGGCGGTTTGTGGCAGATCTCGAAAACGGAGCTAATACGGCTCTCTAGACGGCAAGAAGAATCGGTTCGTGGAAAGGTCATCCGAGATTCCGATTCAAATCTGTGAGAGTAACCTACGCATCTAGATCGTGAACGCGTCACGCTGATGGGATTTGAAAAATTCTTAGGATCGGAATCCGAGAGAACGAAAACGAAAACTGTTTTATGCTGCGTTTTTTTTCATGTCGTATAGATAAAATCTGTAAAACTAATTATATCTCGACATTCGATATCAACATTGTGAACGTCAATCAGTTTCTACTGTACAAAAGTCGTATGCGCCATAAAGCTATATGATAATAAAACTGAGTTAACGAGGTCAATAAAATCTGCTGAAGAAAAGGGACCGTAGTTTAAGCGAGAGGCGAAAAAAGTAGTAAAGGATAATAACAGTACCCACCAGTGTGTGTTCTCTTATGTATCTTGAGATTCTCCGACCTGGCGAAGACTTTGCCGCAGTTTTGAAACGGACACGAGAACGGTTTCTCCCCGGTGTGCACTCGTATATGATTCACGAGTTTGTACTTGGCCTTGAAGGCCTTACCGTTACGCGCGCAACCCTGCCAGAAGCACGCGTGCGTTGTGCACTCTGGTCCGCCCACGTGGTCCACTGTCAGATGCGACACAATGTCGGTAAGATTATTAAAGATTTTGCCGCAGAATTTTCTTCCATTTTCTGGTAACGCTGGGTCTTGGTCTATCCACATGCAAGTAGTCTCGCGAAGTTGGCCGCCGCTTCCGATGGTACCTGCGTGGCTGCCGCCGACGCCGCCGGCGCCGTTAGGCCTCGGAATGAATTTGTAGAAGGCGCTGTGATGACTTGGATGGTTCATAGCCGGATGTTGCTGGTGATGGATAGCCGGCGTCATGTGTGGCGAGCTGATAAACTGGTGATGAGAAGGTAGCGATCTGGTGTCCTGAGGATAGTGTCCAGGATAGTGAGTAGCGGCTAGTGGATGTTGACTGGGATGATGAGGAAATTGCTGCATTGTCGCAGCTGTGCCATCATGATGCAGCGGCGTGAAGAGGCCTAGTCCGCTTTCGGGAGTGGTAGGACTCGCCGTTGCTATTTCATGTTCTCGTCGAAGGATAAACTCGCGCGCGTAACTAGGATGATGACCCATGTGATGGCCCATATGTGGGGCCATATGAGGAGCCGTGTGAGGATGATGCGGCGGGTAACTTTGAGGATGAAAGTGATGATGTTGCTGGGACGGTGCTTCGGTCCCCGGAGGTGGCTGAACGTTCGCACCAGGATCTGTTAATCCACCGGTTGTTCCGCCACTTCCGGGTGATAGCTTGATGCCCAGATTGACGATATGATGCGGGTGAGATGGCATACCCTCTAGGAAACTCATTATTGTGACTGGCGTACGTTGACTTCAAAAGTAGCACCAAGAACTTTGTTTACGACGATATGACTCAGGTCGCGTCGTCAGGCAAGGGAGATGTTTGATACATCTTCGACGTCGTTGGATTTGAATTCCTATCTTAAGGACTATGGACCGGGATATTTTTAAACTATAATTGAATAGTGCAAAAACGTGTATTTGACATAGAAAGTATACAGGCCACGATACACTTCATTCTAGAATCACTAGTCTTACCAAGCTGCCTATTCTAAGCTTTCGTAAAATCCATATCTCGTAATATTCATATTTCCATGTCAAAACAAGTCCCATTCTGTTCCGATTAACGAGCGATCTCACGTTTCACGTATAACATCACGAACCCGCGTAAAGATACATTTGTCACGTGCGAATTATAACACTTTTAGATTACTCGCGGAATAAACGACGTTTGTCAACGATCAATCATCTATTTTCCGTCACTTGCGCGCAACCGTGTTACGCGTTTTTGGGAAATAAACACAATATCTTCCTCAGTGACAACGTAGCGATAACAACAACGCGATGACAATCGACGGCGTCCCGGGTGCGTCGTGCGGTGAGAGTGAAACACACGTAGTGCTCCTTGCTGCGTTCACAGCGGGACTGAAAGTAAAGGACTCCCACCGAGGCAACGCGCGTCTGATTTCGGAGTCCGGTAGATTCCCCTTCTTTCTCTGAGAGTCGCGCGCGTTTCTCGTTCCCTCCTCGTCCTACCGTAGCTTAACCACCGTGCATTGTCCAACCTGGTGTTTCGCCGCCCCACCGTGGTTAAGACCGCCTTCTACCCCTACTGAACCGTTCTGACGGCGCGAGTATAAACCGTGATCCCTACTACTGGTGAACTTATCCTGGCGATACCAGCGTACCATTGGCGCTGAGGGCATCGCTACTCATTGGAGGCCACCGAATAAGGAGGAGCCCATTAATTTACCACGGGTGGATAGGCGTTGCGCCTACCAAGGCGCATGTCGGAGATTCTGCACGCGGTTCACGCCCTGTAGTTTGAAAACGTCGCGCAGTGACGTTCCGCGATTTTATGCACGTTGTACGAAGAACTATTCTCTTGTTTTTTGATACATAAATATACATAAATATGTGAAATATTTAACTATATAGAAACTTTATGCATCAATTTCCGAGATTTTTTTTTCTATTTTACTTGTTAAAACGTTAAATTATTGTTAAATTATCGCAATAGTCAATAATAGATACGCAATAATTCACGCAATCGAGGCTTGAGAATAAATGTCACATATACGAGCGAATGAAATCTGATGAAGATAAGACGACAATTATACTTGCAATAATAATGATTTACTATTGTTGTAAAAACAATATTGTATAGAAATTTTATAATGATGTTGAGAGAGTTTAAAAATATTCTTTAAACTTTTAAATATTAGAATTATATACATGAACCTACTAAAATTGATAAAGCTGTAATTCTGGACGGATCTATTCACTATTTTTTTTTTTACTTATCAAAGAAAGTTTACACGAGATGTAGACAGAAACAATATATATTTCTCTCATTAGTCGTTATATTATTGTTCTTTACTTTAAATATGTATATGTATTTTATTTTCGCGTGCACACATGTAATCGCGTTTTCAGCGATATCATCTATCATCTTTTTTTTTCATTTTCGTTAAACTGACAATTATTACAATGAAATTCACTCTTGCAATAATTATTGTATCATTAAATATCGTTAAATATTTTTCGCATAAAGCGGATATCGAATCTAATCAAATATAAATGTTCTATGCGAACGCAAAAGGAATTGAGCAAGAAAAAGAATCGACAGAAATTGAATCTAATTAACATTTAATCACGAGCTGGGAAGATTATGTAGTAGATTGCTACTATTTAGCTCTTTTTGCTAATAATTTAACCAGCAATGTTAAATAAAAACAAAATAAATGTTTTTAATTCGTTTAATTCTTTTTTTTTTAAATGAAAACTAATAGTGAAATGCAATTAGTTGAATACAAAATGAAATTTAAAAAACCGCCATCGTTAATTTATACTAATTATGTTAGACTGATATAAAGATATTTCATTTGCTAAAATTAAATAAAATTTTTTAATTAGAAATAAAACTAATTATTAATTTATTTTTAGACAAAATTTATAATCATACAATTTTATGAGTTAACAAATTGTTAGTTATCGCAGTCGGTAATAAATATGGCGCTGTATTATTTTGAAAATTTAGCTATTATTTTGCTACGAATATTTTTAAGATGATTAGTGAATAAAAAATAAAATTATGTTATTGAATGGAAATCAGATTGTTGCATTTTTCTTAAACTCTGCATTTTTCTTAATTATAATTATATAATTTAAGTTGTTTTAATAGCTATTTCAATACTAATCATTCATTCAGGATGAAAAGCGTAATTCTTTTATTTTAGATGATTGCATAAAACAGAATTACACATAATTTCAAATAAGATTTTTTTTGAACTTGTTATATTTTAAATATTATTAATTCTATACTAATAAAAAATTTTACAATACTGCATATGTCCAATGTAATAAATACAAAAAGTTCAGCTCTCTTCATTTAAAAAAACAAATTTGTTAAAATTGTCAATTTTTTAATGTTCTGGATTTAAAGAATGTCTTTAATATAAAAAAACGTAAAAATGTATCAATTTATTTTTTAGAAACAGAGATATATTAATAATCGTCTATAAGTAAAAGAAACATAAGGAAGAAACTGATATAATAACTTTGAATTAAATAATAAGCACAATAAAGATTAACTTTTTTAATATTTTTTTATGTATACTGAATGCTTAGTAAAAGATGAATGCGTTTTCATTTGTAAATTATTTCTTTTGTAAGTTTTCATTTTGTTAGGGTAATCTGTCAGAATATTCATTGCATAGGAAATTATGTTTTATTTTCAATTCTTTCTTATGTATCGCAGATAAACTTTGTTGTAGAAAATGTTGTAGAATTTTTCTGAAGGAAAATAGTTTCAAAACATGACTATTTCATATTTTATTTTGAAATCACATTTATCAACTGTTAATACAAAAATTCTACTGGAAAAATCTAGGTATAGAAAACTATTTGCCAAAGAGAGTCATGTTAGTCACATGTCATAACTATAGAAATTATAACAAAATCTGTCAATCAAACTTTTGATTGGTTCATCATTTTTTGTCAACTTCATACCTTAGAATGAAAAAGATAGTATGAATCAGAGAATGAGATATAAATGAGATATAAAAAGAGACAATATTCGCTTCTTAGTCACTCTTGTTTTGACAAGATTACTCTGTTATCCAGAATCCAGTCATGACGTGGCATAAAATTTTTTCCGGTGGTTTCTTTTAAACTAGAAAGCAGTATTCACTCACTAATTAAACACATTACTTTTATTAAAATATTTGCACTCTCTAATCTCTTCGTAACATTACATTTATATTTATGTAAAATTTACAAAACATAATTTAACAATATGGAAATCAATATCCAAGAAGACGAAGAAGTAAAAGCAGAATTTTCATTTTTATTCAAATACCTCCTTTGCATTTTAGTAAATAAGAAACATGTCGAACGAATGATTAATGATATTTTACATCACATGGAATAGTAATTAATCAAATAAGGAAGTAGAACATATGCATATCCTTCAAAGCACTACGGCAACTTCGATATATGCAACTGAGATGATTTATGCTCTCTCACAGAAAAGGAAAAATGATCAACAGTTCTAACTTCAGATCAGGGTTCAATTTTGTTTTATATTAGCGTATATACTTATGCGGATCTAATCTTTCACGAGCCTTTACGTTTCGGTTTATATATATATATATATATATA